GGTGAGGGAGACAGAATTCCCATGGGAATGTGGGATTTGGGAATGTGAGATTTGGGAGAGTGGAACTGAGGAACATGGGAATTCCATGCATGGATCCCACTGTTGTCCCCTTCCAGTGGGACTTCTGTGGATGGATCTCACTCCAATCCCATTCCCATGGGAATTCCATGATGGATCTCACCATTATCCCATCCCAGAGCCCCCCACTGTCCACGTGTCCGGGAAAGAGGAACATGGGATCCTGACGTTGTCCTGCCACGCGTACGGATTCTACCCCGGGATGATCGGGATCAACTGGCTGAAGGGCGATGAACTGCGGGATCAGGAGACGGAGTGGGGCGGGATCGTTCCCAACAGCGACGGCACCTTCCACAGCTGGGCCAGGATCGAGGCGCTGCCGGGGGAGCGGGAGCAGTACCGGTGCCGGGTGGAGCACGCCGGAATGCCGGAGCCCAGGATCTTCGCCTGGGGTGAGGCTGGGAACGGGCAAGGTGGGAACTGGGCATTTGGGAAGGACGAATTTGGGAGTGTGGGACAGCAGGATGGGGGTAACCCTCCCCCTCCTCCCCTCCTGCCCTTCCCAGAGCCGGAATCCGTCTGGAATTCCAGCCCGGTGTTGGTGGCTGTGTCCGTCATCGCTGCCATCATCATCATCGGCCTCGTGGGAGTCGGTGTCTGGAAGCTCCGATCCGGTAACTCCCAGGATGGGGGTGGGGAAGGGGCACGGATCCGCCCGGCAGCATTCCGGGGATCCTGTGCCACGGGTGCTGATCCCGCTCTATTTCCACAGGGAAGAGGGAGGGGAATGGATACGACCCCGCGCCCATCAGTGAGTACCAGCAGCGTGTGTGGATCCAGATCCTCTGTGCAGGGATCCCAGGATGGATGCCAGGATTCCAGAGGGGAATGGGGGCCTAATGGCTGGAGTGGGATTGGGAGGGGATTCCAGTTCAGGGCAGGATTCCAGAGTGGGATCAGGTGGAATTGTGGACTGGGATCAGGGCTGGATTCTGGAGTGAGATTGGGGTTGGATTGGGGTGGGATGGATGGAGCAGGATCAGGAGGGAATCCAGAGCAGTTCCTACTCTCCCTGGGCTCCACAGCCGGCTCCATCCCCTGGGATGGGAACAGGGACATGGTGACTCCTTTCCCTGCTCTCATCCCGGCAGGAATCACGGCCTGAGCAATCCCGGAGCTGGATCTGCCCCTTCCCTCTCCCTGTGGAAAGGCAGGAGCTGCTGGCAGAGCTCATCCCGCTGCTCCCACCCACCCCAGCCCCCCTGCGGCTCTTCCCGATGGATCAACTTCCTGCTTTTTCCTGGGTGAAACCCAGGACCACAATTATTCCTGAGGCTTTAATTTGGGTG